CAACTCAGGAAAAATATGTTTTATTAAAAAAAATAATAGATGATATACAAGGTGCAAATTTTTTCATATTTACATGCGCCGATAAGGTTATAAAACCGAACTTGACTAAAAAAAATTCTATTATAATTTTTGACGATGTAATATGTGGACCACAATCTGTAATCAGAGAATACTTCAGCATGTGCAGACATTCAGGTGCTAGCTCTGTATTTTATATAGCACAAACATATTCTAAAATATCGAAACAGCTAATAAGAGATAACTCAAACTTTTTAATGATATTGAAACAAGATGACACAAATTTACGACATATTCAACGATCATTCCTCTGCAGATATGGATTTCTCAGAATTTCGGAAAATGGCACGTTTTTGTTGGAATAACAGTGATTACGGGTTTATGGTTATCGATAAGACTCGGGAACAGAATGAAGGAAGATATAGATGTGGCTTCTATATGTTTATTAAAATAAAATAATTATATGTACCTATATAAACACCGTAGCACAGTTATTATCTACATAGTGTTATCAATAGCCACACAATACAGTTATATTAAATTTATTATTTACAATGAACAAAGAAAAAGTTTTGTTAGAAAATTTAATAGCATCAAAAAAAAATATTAAACGAAAAATCATGGAAATGAAACGTGGGGTTATAGATTCTGAAAACTATTTCCGAGAGGCATTTAAACCAATAATCGAACCACTGTGTGCACGAACAGAAAAAAATACATTATGCAACTAACAGCCTACTGAACTAAAAAATACAGAGGCCCTATTTGAAAGTGATAACGATAATGGTGATGAATTAAATTTATCATTTGAGAATTTTTTGGATAATAAACGTCCTAAATCAATTCGATATGATAAATCCTATGGTATGCATTATGATAAAGCCAGTGATTCATATAAAATAGGAAAACACCCTCTAACTTTTAGCCATGGTAACTTAGAACTGCTTAATACATTCTATCCATGGAATATGGGGCTAAAGTCTTTATTATTCGAGAAGGAACCAAAAAATATGACCGTGGAAGATATAGAAAATTATTACAACATTTTGAAAACTACTGGGGTTCATTTAAAAGAAGATGGAAAATCTAAAACGTCAAGGATTCATAAGTGGGCAGTCGTTGTAAAACCCCTGTATGATCGAATAAAATATGAGGAAAAACAGTTAAACGAAGAAATAGCCAAAATTAATAACACTAAGGTTCCACGAATTAACTTATCTCCATTTAACACTCATTTTTCTAGGGTAAGCGCTAAACGTAGTAACGTCCATAACAATACAACCATAGAACCATTTGAATTTCAATCAGAAGCAGACAGTTCTATGACTTCAAATCCCGTAGTGGAAGAAATGTTTACTTTTACTTCAACACCTCAGACTAAACAAGGTTCTGGTTTATATAAAGATGTTATACCACAAACACAATTAGTTTATTATGACGATCCGAATGAACTAGTAACTAGGTTAAATCTTTTAACGTCATCAAAAAGTGCTGGAAATACTGGTCTTAATAACGAAATTATATCCATTTTAGAAGAACTACGCGAGAGAAATATTATAGTGTAATGTCAACCTTAGATAATATAGCTAATGAACTACATCGACCAGCAAAAAAAATATTTCCTAGGCGATGTGTGATAACACGGTTTATTGATGATCTCTGGCAACCTGATTTAATGGATATGCAATCCCACTCTAAAAAAAATCATGGTTTTAGATATATTCTAGTTGTTATAGATACGTATTCAAAATGTATTTGGATTGAGTCACTGAAAAATAAGTCTGGTGAAGATTGTACAAAAGCCATGTCTAATATATTAAAAAAAGCTAAACCAAAATTGCTACAGACAGATAATGGCACAGAATTTTATAATATTCAATTTCAAGATTTGATGAAAAAATACAAAATTAAACATTTCAGTTCATACAGTGTTATCAAGTGTTCAATTTGCGAACGCGTAATACAAACTCTTAAAAATAATATATACAGGCATTTTACTGCAACAGGTACATGGAATTGGTACAATACAATATCAAAAATTATACAAAAATATAATAATACAAAACATAGGGCAATCAAATGTACACCAACTGAAGCCCGACATTCTGAATTCCGGATAAGCTGGTGATGAATTGAATCGTATTTGATGTACCAATGCCTGGATATCGTTTGGACATTTTTGGAAATTCATTTAAAAAAAAAAAAATTATAACTTAAAAAACAGTTTAATGAAACGATGAGAAAGTTGATGACCACGAAACACAACTTCAACAAATAGCTTATCCTCAGTAANTTAAAAATGTATTTTTTGATAAAAATATATACAGTGTAACCAACATGTGTAAATTTTAAATTCCATGGATGAGCTTGCTGCGAACGAACAAATCAATTTTTATCATAAAAAATTAATTATTCCACATGTTTTCCTGGTACCCCTCGTAGTTTGTTTTAAACCTTAGTGCAACCGCAATCGATATAAACAAAAAGCGCTATCTAGCAGTAAAATAACGGAAGAAATCATTGGTTGTGAAACCGCTAATCGTTTTTAAAATATTACCCTGTAACAGTAAAAAACTTGGATAGAAAGCACCCACAAATCTGATAGATCAAGTGGAAAAGTCGTGGACAAACGTTTTTTAATCTCCTTGTTATTGTAAAAATCGGTACAGAACCGACATATTATACCTACTTACATCTAACTGCTAATCTGTACAAGCAGTTCATGTTTATTTTTTGTACAACGACTGAACGACGTGATTCTTATATTCTATTCTGCTTAAGATTTATTATAATGTATTTACATCGCCAGGATTTCAAGCCATTATTTTTGTTGTATTAAAATGAAAATTAATAATACATTTAAAATCGAATAAGGATATAGGAAAAAATAAAAGATATAATTATTATGAAAATGACTTATTAATTTAAACATATTAACGTGTTAAGCTTATTAATACCATGGCATTATTAACGGCTGTATAAAAGTAAATTAAAAAACCCATAACGGAGTACATATACTTATTACAACTTAAATACTGTCATGATGTACAATTTGGAAGGTGTAGTTTATTTATATAATATTTTAATATATTGACCCTAGGTGATGATATCAAGATTCAAGATAAAGTAGATGTTTGGTATTTAATCGATTAATACAAATATCAAATATACAAATATTTACATATTGTATATTCATTTTAACATAAATATTTTCAATTTAGAAATTGCATCATAATAAATATCAAAATAATATTAAACATATTTCTTTAGGCATTCAAGATATTTTTCTAAATGTTTTATTCATTTATTTAACAAATAAACTTATTTTCGAGCTTATTAATTTTTTTTTATGCCACAAGCCCCAGTGACTTGCTCCACACTTACTGGATATTTTGTGAGAAAAAATTAACTTACGCAAGGTAAAAAATATATGGTAGGTTGCCACCTATTTATTTTAATTTTTAATTGTTTAAGTATACCCTTGATTGGGATTAAATCAGATTTCATTTTCACGATTATATAATAATGTTGCGTACGTAATTTCGTAAGGTTCCAAAAGCCGTAAGGTTTAGAGACAAAATAAGACAAGTACCAAGTGAACTTAAGAATAATGTTTATTTAGCACAAAATATGGTTAGTGTATAATGGCGTGTGTGTGTGACGAGAAGTGGCTCTGGTCTTCGTGGCTATGATACATCTGCTTAGGCTGCGCTAGAGGCTGTGGTATCGGTTCCTTTGACGAAGCGGCTCGTGCAGCTTGCAGGTGTGGTGTTTTTTCGGTTGTTGTTGCTAATTCCTAAAAAAGCAGCTCATGTTCACGATTTCTAATCGTTTACCTGTCCAGTGATTTATTACATATGTAGAGGCTACCCCATCTTAGTACATTAGTTGTTTTGCCCTGACGGTATTTTATATTGAGACAGGTTAATTATTAAGGCTCAACGTATTTTGATTCCGTTTTCGACATCATATTTGTGTGAAGCTGGGTTTTCGGCGGTTGCTGTAATAAAAAGCAAGTATCGAACAAAAATCAATGTTGAAAAAGAAATGAGAGTAGCTGTGTCTTGTTTGATTCCAAGGTTTGAAAAAATGTGCAGTGATATGCAAGCATATCCACCGCATTAATTTTATATCTATTTGGACCTCTAAATATAAATGTAAATGTAAATCTCCAAAAATAATTAAAATGTGTAAAAAGTATATAACTAAAATTAAATAAATATTCTTGTATTAAAATTAAAAAATTGTCTGGTTTTTATTTGTTTTTTATTCATTTTTTATGATTAGTCATGCTATGTCTTGGAAAGGGTGCCTCGAGAAAAGTTTAGTTCAAAAAGGGCGACGTGAGCTAAAAAAGTTTGGGAACCGCTGGGTTAATATATTCGTACGCTATTTCTTAAGGACCATGGTTTCGGTAATAGTTTACGATATAATATAATATATAATATATATACATTGTGAAAGGTCAATGTGTTCTGTACTATATTATTATAATATATTCTATTACATGTTTAATTGTAGATGCGGAGATTCCAAGCCCCGCAACAATACAGAACAACATTAAGATACTCTTCATTCAACATAAGGTATGCAGTATACATTATATAGATTATTATTTATTTATGTTATAATAAAATTATAATTTTTCGTTTAAAACACAACAGGTAGGTACTAAATAATATCGACGCACCGACTCTGTGCAGATATTACTCAGACAAGAGGTTTTCCTCACAGTCAATATTATTCGTGTAAGATAACATTAATATTTATATGGTCTGCTCTACGGTTTGTCAACTGTCGATTTTTTTTCAACGGATCCCCCCTTTTTCTTCAGCATGCTCTTCGGTTTCTGTCGTACGATTGCGGTCCTGTGCATCCTGTATGCGTTCGGCAGTTCGTCGTCTTTGTACTGCTGGTTACTGAAATATATCCTTCTCAGCCGACAGTTGGCGTGCACTTGGACGCGAACCGTCTCTACGTAGGTCGTCTTGAATGAGAAGCTTGTGATCTCAGCCAATTTCAGGTTCAGTTGGTTCCAACCCTCTTCCATACACATCGGCATCGTGATCATGAACGTGCTTTTCTTTGTGATCGAATGGTAGTTGCTCATGCGCAAACGTCGGCGAATGTTTTCGCTGTCCAAAATCTGTTTACGCATAACAATGGTTGCGGGGAATGCCATTAGATGGCACAGAGAACCAAGTACATTTCAGTCAGTTGAAATATATTATATATTTTTTCGTAATAAAGTTTCACAGTTCAAAATCGACAAATTTTGAACCGTTTTTAAAATTGAAACATTTTGCCACGCCATCGCATGTACTAAAATTATTTTTGTTTTTTTAAATATTAATGTAAATTGTTTGCCTTTTACAGAATGTTTTTATAGAAATCTATATACCTTTTACGTACCTACCTATACTCCGTGGCAAGAGAGAACACATACTATACGGTGGCCGACCAAAACTCGTTTTTCTCGCGCACGAGCTTTCCCGTCTATGAAACAGTCTCTGTGAGGCATTTCTCGCATTTTCGTATGCGTTTTCTCACGGAACGGAGTTATAGTCAGATATAAAATATATATTATGAAAAATATTTGTCTGAATGGAGTGTAGTTGTGGCTTATTATTATCTAGTTGGAGATTACAAACACGTGCTTGAAAGAAACCAAGAAGCTATTACAACATATATAATATTAATTACATACCGTAATTTCGAACGTAAAATATTGACCGAGGTTTTTCACCAACAACGTCAAGAACGGCATTCGAATACCCAATGAACCTTTGGGATTCACCGGACAAGTTATACAACAAGCGTTCACGTTTAGCGACTGGATTTGGAGCACGTTGGACTTTATCACGTCGTCTAGTACCTGTTTCAATTCTCCATATTTGCACTGTAAAACCCATACGTGTCGAGCGTGTAAAATATACGATAACGATGATCAGGTTAGGTTATAAATAAGCATTTTAAAAATTTATTTATTTTGATTTATTTATTTTTTTAACTTTGAATACATATTTCGAGGTACTTGTAATACGCGTTGCTATTACATTAAAAATAATTGTATAGATGTAAGGAGGATGTAAATATGTCAATAATAATAATAATAATGTGCTATATGAACCTGAACTGTATAAGTATCTACATTCTACATAATATAATATTGCACAGTGAGGATTACTGTCTGCAGTACACAAAATTGTATTCCGATTTGATTTTTGCTTTTTTTTTGAATCTCCCCATAATTTCTTACCCAGGAATATTACAAAATGAATATATTAATGGCTTAAATCAAATAACAGTTCAATTTTCAGTTATAGTTTATATCTCGGCTGTATTTAATCTGCGACAAAATTAGAAATATACATTATGTAAACTGCGATAATACTTAAACCTAGTGAAATAAAAATACTAAACACATCATATATTCATATTTAAACTTGAATAATAAAATATGCTAACACTGTGTTAGTAAATCGAATGTTTTATATATTTTGTTGCAATTAAAAAACGAATAACATTGATATTCTTTTAAATACTTTAAAGTTTAAATTTTGATCAAACATTAATTTTATTGATTTCTATTCAATACACATGATCACATTTTTTAATTACTTGAACTCGTTTTGACCTATTTATACAATTTATTTTTAGTTAATTTTACAAAAATGTCAATAAAATGTCTATAAATATATAAGATTTGTCATAAATTGTAACCCAAAAAGGTACATACTTATGTATGGGTTTTTTTTATAAGCATTTAGTTTAAAATGCATAAAATGTTTCAATTTTTATATTTAAGGTTTGAAAAACTAAAAAAAGGGTTCTCAAAAGTAGTTTATATTGTAACAAAAATGTATAAAAAGTGTATATCATCCATAGTTTTTTTGTTTATAGAATTTTTAAGTTCAAATTTGGAAGAGAGTAGATATTTAACCCTGAATTTAAGTTTTAACATACTGTAGTACCTACTAATTCATAATACTAAAATAAATTACTTAAATAAAAAAAATACCATAAAATATACAAAGTAATAATATTATATGCTGACAGACCGTCACACAGTGGTCTGAAACGTTATTTTAGGCGCTCAAAAGTCCTATTCCAAATTTATCAAAAAAAATTTAAAAAAATGTTAAAACCTTATTATCATATGTTCCTTAGCTCGAATATAAAATTTTACAATCCTACATTTATTTTTACCATGTGTATAATTATTTGAACATGGACAATTGTACGTTTTATACGATTTTTTCGTTATTTTTAATGAAACTTAATTTTTTTATTTATCAGGGAAATATAATTTTTTTTTTGAATTTTTTTTTTCATGTTATTTCCTATATGCGTATTAATTATATTAGACAGGTAAAAAAATATTTATTAAATTTTTTTTTTTACAATCCAAAGTTATTTGGAAATATTTTAAATTTTAAGATTTTTATTTTTTTCTGAAGCGTGTAAATAAAAATTACTCAATTTTACCCAAAATCTGATATGTACATAAAATAAAGAATATTCCCAGGATTTTGAAAATGTTATTTTTTTTGCGTCCATAGGGAGTTATAGCGTACAGAAATTATTTCTGTAAGGTTTATCGTAATATTTGCAACAAAACATGAATTGTGTAGGAAATTTATGAACTTTGGTATTTGAATTGGGTATTTTTATGTCATAAACAGATAAGATAATTTTATGAATACCTACCAATTAAATTATATTGATAATATACATTTGAACGTCTTGTCTTTAGTCATTGTGTAGACTGCAGTAGAAACGATAGTATTTTTAGTAAAATATTACTTACCTATTAAATTAAGTAATTTGTATAGTATAATATAAAATATAAGCTATATTTGATATAATGGATAGTCAATTTGAAGGTAAGAGAATATCTACATATACTTTTAATATTTGTTGGTATATATAATTAAGCTAAGTCGGTTTATATAACGTATTTTCAGTTGATCTCGTAACTAACAATAAGCGTAAAAAATGTATTTTGAATCGTGAACTGTATGAAGTTGTGCGTAATAAATGTTCTATGCAATCTGTGACAACTGTTAGTACAAGACAATTATTGTTTATTTTTATTCAAAATAAATTCAATGGTTTGAAGTGGAACAGTGTTCATATTAAAACAATAGAAAGTGCAATATTAAATTTTTCTTTAGCATTATCAAAAAAATGGACAAAAGCTTGCCGGAATAATAATAAATTTAATAAAATTCATACTGAATGGCTTGATTCATACTTCAAAATACCTAATCAAAATAATAATAATGTTTCAACGTCGTTAAACATTGGTAGACCTATTAAAAATTTTAACGAATGTGCAGATAGTTCTAAAAGACGAAAAAATAATATTTCGATAGCTAATTCTACTATGACGACTCCTGAAATACATTACGCTTCACAAAATAAATTTTCAATGGCTGGACAGCGAAATATGGCCCAACTTTTTAAAGAGGTAACATCATCTGATAAAGCTTCAGATCTTTTGAAGTCTCACGCCAAATTAAACTCTTCAAAAATCATAGCACTTACGGCTGATGAAGCGTTGGCATTTTTTATTGAAAATGATTTAACGAAAAATCAATATTTGAATATAAGATTAACAGAGAAACAACATAATGCTGATATCTATCCACCATACGATACAATTATTGCAGCAAAATCATTGTGTTATCCTGAAAATTGTATAGTATCTGAAACTTTTTGTGAAATAAAACTGCAGGATCTTCTTAACCACACCTCAAAAAGAATATTTGAAATTCCCTCAATAAATTTTAATGAAAATTATTTAAAAGAATTTGAAATTATTTATAAATGGGGTTGTGATGGAAGTAATGGACAGTCACTATATAAACAACTGTATCGTGATTCAAACGAATGCTCTGACAGCGATTTATTTCTTTTTTCAATTGTTCCTCTCCAGTTGCACTCTTTTAATGAAAACAATGAAAAACATATAATATGGAAAAATAGAAGAACTTCTTCTACACGGTTTTGTAGACCAATCAAGTTTAAATTTCAAAAAGAAACGAAGGTTACTACATTACATGAAGTAAATGGTATTGAAGACCAAATACAAAATTTGTTGGCTTCACACATAATATTTAATGGTAAAGAAGTAAAAGTTAAGCATACTTTATTATTTACAATGGTTGACGGAAAGGTAAATGAGTTATATAATAGTATATATATTTTTAAAATATGTAATATTTATTTAAAATCATTATTTACTTGTGATATTATCATAAAGGTATGTAACTCCATGACAGACACCTCAAGTCAAAAATGTTACATTTGTGGTTCTTCTCCAAAAGACATGAATAATATTGAACAAGTAAAAAAAAGATTAATTAACCACGAATCGTTGAGATTTGGACTGTCCACACTACATGCATGGATACGATTCTTTGAATGCTTGTTACACGTTTCATATCGTTTGGAATGTAAGACTTGGCAAGTATGTAAGATTGTTATAATATGCAAAATATATTTAATCAATAATTATATTAAACATTAAAAATTATATTTTAGGTTAGAACACCAGTACAAAAGCTAAGTTCTGCACAACGAAAAAAAAACATTCAAGAACGTTTTCGCACAGAAATGGGTTTATTGGTTGATGTTGTGCTACAAGGTAAAAACGAACTAATATTAATTTGGTGAAATATGAATTATGTACCGCAGATTTATTTACTCTGACAAATATATTTTCAGGGAAAGGAAATACAAACGATGGTAACACGGCAAGAAGATTTTTTAAAAACCCAGAAAAGAGCGCAGAAATAACTGGAATTGATTTTACATTACTCCAACGTTTTGGGAACATATTATCTGTAATTGCTAGTGGACGTAAAATTAATCCAATTACGTTTGATGAATATGCTTTGGCCACGGCTACATTGTTTGTACAACTTTATCCTTGGTACTATATGCCGGCAAGTGTACACAAAATACTTATTCATGGAGCTGACGTTATAAAATTCGCCATTTTGCCTATTGGTAAACATTTTTTTTTTATATACCTACTAAAATAATATTTTTATATATTTATTTTTTGCAGGACAACTTTCTGAAGAAGCCCAAGAAGCTAGAAATAAAGATTACAAACGAATAAGGCAAAATCATACAAGAAAAAATAGTAGATTAAATACCAATAAAGATTTAATACACATGCTACTCGTCTCATCAGATCCATACATATCGTCCATTAGAGAACTGCCGAATAAATGTCGACTTACATTCAGTGATGATTTACAAAACTTATTTATGTTTCCTGAGTACTCAGATAAAAGTACAAATGCATTAAATTCGTCGTTTTCAGAAATGGAAATAAACGAAAATGAATAAACATATGATATTAATAATTATCTTATTTGAGAAATACTATGAAAGAGGTAACCATTTTTTTATCATACATATTTTTAATCCTTAGGTATTCATAACATTTTATACTGAAAAATAATTATTTACACAGGACAGATTAAATGGATTGACCATGTTGTCGGTATACCGCAATATTAATTTAACTCCTGAAGAAGTCATTGATAAGTTGGGACAAAACCCCAGGAAAATAGACATTGTTTTATAATGAAAATAAAAATAAATATTAGTTAAACAACATATTATTATTTTGATTTATCAATGTATAATATATATATTTTTTTAATGTAAGCCCCC